CATTTATTTTGAAGACACACTGTATGACAAAAATCTGAAACAATAGGACACAATGAATGTCCGTCGAGTGGACTCTCACCGCTGATGGTAAATACGAGGTTTCTTCGGCCGCACATCTGTTGCAAATCATGCACGAGGGTTCGCTGTACACGGACACGGGAACACCNGGCGGTGGGCTCTGCTGTAGCTTCTGCTCCCCGCTGTAGCTCCACAACGAGAGACTCCCACAGGATGACCAGGGTAGCGGCTTGAAGCTACGGGCTAGCCCTTCAATTCAAGCTACACAGCAAGCTCCACCTCTCAGTGGTAGTCCGGCTACAGCGTATCGCGCAATCTCGCTCTCAATCAGATGCTACGCTCTCAATCAGGCGAATATGTTGTTACGAGTGACATCGATCTCGCGAATGATCACGCGAACATCACCCCAATTCCCAATTTCACGGGTGTGTATGATGGCGGCCTCTGCACCATTTCAAACTGGTCGTGTACACAGAGCGTCACCTACTCGGGTCTGTTTGGGACTTGCAGCGGCGCCACCCTCAAGCACCTGCGATTGACGGGTGTTTGGACCATGAGTTCTACGAATGTCGGAGGTCTAGTTTCGGCCTCATTTGCGGAGTCTACAGGGCACGACATTGATGTAAACGTTTCCTCGGGGACTGTTTTGGACGGATTCAAAAATGTCGGGGGAGTTTTCGGCTACGTGTACCGAAGCTCGCTGTATGGATTGACGCTCCGCGGGACACTGGAAATTTCGAATTCTCTTAGCATCGGCGGTTTGTTTGCGACTTGTGTGGAGTCGACACTCGCTTTTTGCCGAAATCTCGCGTTTTTTCCAAACGGGCTCTCGTCGTCGTCGAACATCGGTGGTATCGTATGCGAGGCGAACACTTGCACGCTCAACGTGTGTCAAAACGGAATGACTGGCGACATCACCGGGAAGTGGTGTGGCGGTATTTGTGCGATACCGACGAGGGGCGTAGTTTTCGACCGCGTGGTGAACAGCATGATAGGTAGCATTTCGGGCACGGTATCCGGTGGCATTTTCGCATACGCCATGTTGAGTGCCGACAATATCCTGATGTAGCTGACCAGAGTGTTAAATTACATGACGGCCGACGTCTACTCGTCTTCAGGATTGTCGGGGGGTATTTTTGGATTGGCTCAAAGGAACAACGACACGTCTACGCTGTCCATCACGAGCTGCGTGGTGGCCATGAACGGTAGCACTGCTCACGCCGTAAGCGAGTGCCGGCTCTTTGTGCCCGAGGTGTTGGAAGTCACCGTGGACGCAAGCTTCGGCCTGTCTTACACCGAAGACAACTACGGATCGGCGACAATGGTGGTGGACGATGCGTTGCTGTACGACGCGGGATTCGGCGATCTGCCGTTCTTTAGCACGAGCGGGACGGACCCCGACGGCAATATTTACGAATGGGACTTTGTTTACGGAAACCTTGGGGGTAAATACCCGCAGTACACGCACCTCAGCGTGCACACTGCGGAGGTGTCGGCCCCCTACCGGACAGATTTTGGTCTGGGGGCGGACAACGAATCGCCGTACCTGACTTACGCTAATGTCAGCGATGAGTCCCTGTACGTAGACGCTTCTCTGACGCTGGTGGAGACCTCGGCGCCCAACGCATTCGTGCGAGACACGCTGCTCGTGCTTAAACAGGCGCCGGTGACAAAAGAAATGTACTTCAATGCTCTCACAAACGTGTACGACATCTCGGACCAGGATGCTCCAGAGGCGTCGACAGCCAACACTCTCTTCAGCACGGGCGACAGAGTCGCGGTCAGTGTTAAACACGAAGGAAAGGGAAAAACGGCAGTCACAACAGTTTTCGTGAACACGGGCGACACTATTGCCGTCGCCGAAATCCAAGCTCTCCTCATACCATTCGACGAGTTAAGCACCGAAGAATCGCAACAACAGATTGTAATGCAGCTTTCCGACGATTCAATGATCAACGCTAGCCTTGACCAAGATTCAGGGGGCATTACGGTTGGCGGAGTTGTGTACAGAGTTGGAGATTATTTCATCATGGACGACAGGAAAGTTACCGTACTGGAACTTTTAATTTCAACAGTGGTATAATTCAGGGCCCTAGTTACACCCCCCCCGGGCGTCAGATTATCCGTTCGACGATGAGTCAAAAATTAGGTTTATTTTGTTTCCAGCGTAGCATACATGTCGAGATGCCCGAGTGCAAGTCTAAAACATTATGCTACTTGTCGAAGGATGGTAAGAAATGCACGAAGCCCAATGCTTGGATAATTTATCTGCGCGCCACCAAACACACACACAAATCAGTGAGTGCCGCGGCAAAGGAGTACCGCACCAAGTTCATGCCGTACATTCGGGAACGAGCCAGGAAACGAACAACGGACCAGTCCACCCCGGCACAGATTCGAAAAGCGCGCCGCGACGAAGTTTGTGCATCCTTTGGCAAGAACGTGAAGGCCCACTCTTCCGCGAAAAAGACCGGTAAGCGGGCCGCAAAGAAATCTACATCGAGAAAGGCAAAGACGCCTGTGGCGAGCGAGGAAGGCAAACTCGCACTGCAAGTATCCAAACTGCGAGCCAAAAAGGTCGCGGACAAGGCTACTCTCGACTCTGAGGTTGAGAAAAAGATACGTGATTTGCAACGGAGAGCGATCGGGCGTCTCCTGGGCAAAGCCGTAGCGAAGAGACGCCAGGCCCGTCAGCTCAAGAAAGACGCTGACGCAAAAAAACAGCAGGCGGCGAGGTCGGCTTCCTCCGCAAGGTCCGCTGACATGAAAAAAACGGCCAGCGCCACAGCCAGTCGGGCGAAATTGGCCCTCCAAAAGGCCGGTGAGTTGGAAGACAGTGCTAAAAAGCTGAAGAAGCGTCAGGTTAAACCTACGAAGACCAAGTCTCAGTCGGCAGCCGCCAGGCAATCGCGCATGCTGAAGAGGCTCGCAATGTAAATCATCCCCACACAGGGGCGTTTTGAGCCGGCGCCAGTCCGCCACCACCAGCCTCTGCCTTCGCTCCCACTCTCGCCCCCGCCCCCGCCCGTTTTCCTCCCCCGCCCCCTTCCCCTCCTCCCCCGCCACCGCCGCTGCCTTCGCTTTCGCTCCCGCCCCCTCCCTCTCCGCCGTGTCTCGCAATTTCTGTTTCATCACAACGTGTTTCTCCTCAAAATAATGTTGGCCAGGTTCAACACCAATCAACCCGTTCAAGCATGGACTCGCTCACGGCAAGGCTCTGGTCACGGAGCGGGCTCAGCCCCCAAAACCCCTTGCTACCCCCCGTGAACAATATTCGCATGATACGACTCAAGGAGCCGTTGACGGATGCTGAAAAACAGTTGCACGCAGCGCGCCTCGCGCTCGAAGCGTTGGAGACAGCGCAGAACGCAGCGAACCCTACCCAAGCGAGTATTGCTTATGCCACTACCGCACTGTACGCGGCCATGGAAGCGCTGCAGGGGAGAGAAGCGGACTACTTTGCCAGCCGGTACATTGAAAAAGACCAAAAAACCGTGTTGCAGGGATGGAGGGTTGAAAAGGAGAGGGTGTTTACTGGCAAACTCGATAAAATGCGTGCTGACGCGGACAATCACAGGCATGCCGTCAACGGGTATGCACTGCAACCGGCACTAACGCAAGAAACAGATGCCGCCAACAGGACCCATGCGGCCTTTGACCTCGCAGTCCAAATTTCACAAGTTTGGTTCAACGCCAACATTCCTACATCCATTGCTGTTCAGCAACAACGCCTTAATGACATCCGCAAACACGTCTCTGCCGTTCGCGCCGACCTGGGGGCTGTCAAGGCACTTCCTGCTACGATTCCGGCCAAGAACCGCGCCCTGTCCGAGATCGGGAAATGTCTCAAGCGGGTCGAAATCGCCGAGCGTCTGGGCGCGCTGGCCTTCCGAGGCCACTTTGTCCTGCCGTACGATTTGCGTTAAAAAACGGTAGACGCTCGTGTTCCACTGTCAATATTTCCTAAAGCGTGATACCAGATGCTCCCGAGCATTATGCTTCTCTCCGTCAAGAGTTTAAGTTTCAGAGCTTTTGGCGACCTCATGTGTCAACAAGTTTACAATAATGGTCTTAATTCACGGGCGGCGGGTCTAGGGTTAGACAAAGAGGCTTGTTATTGGAAAAAAATATGCACTCACCACTAAAGGCAAACGTCTGTAGAGCATGAATCCGATCGAAATCGAAGGAATTCTTGAACGGTTGACATCGTCCTACGCCAGCCCCCGACAACGCGGCGCGGTTGCCGCGGTCAACCGTCAGTTTCGAGACAATGTGGAAATCACTCGAGCCCGACTCGCAGGCGCCATGATGCAGGGTGCGATGACACGGTACCGGATGACGCATTTTCCACCGGTTAGGTCCATGGACCAGAAAATACGCGAGATTGTTCCTCCCATCTGGATTTTGTTTACGGCGATGAGCAATCACGCCACGGCTTCAGGCAGAAGAGAAGACGCATCGGGTCACGTCGGCGAAAGATTTACCGATATCGAGGACAACATTCTCCCCCCCGGTATGACGTGGGACAAATTTCGTCGCATTGAGAGCGAAGGATATTTCCACGTTCAGTATTTACATAACCCTGACAGGGCACTAAGGCAATTTTTTCAGGACATCACCAACAAGGTTCACAGAAACAACCCGATCGATGTCGCTGCGTTTTTCAACCCTGCAGTTGAACAAACGGGACCGGAGTTGTTGCGCATGACTTTTTCAACCGGTGACCTGGCGTTCTACGGATGGTGAAACATACATCGCTGGTCGAACAATTTTTATCTGTAGATGATGATGCCCTTTTATAAAACGCCGAATACTCAGGTCAACGGGCCGTGTTTACCGCGAGGGAGAAGACCGTCGGCAGTGTAAAACGTCAGACAGGCTTTATCGCACAAACACCCTGATCTGCACAAGCTCCACATGTTAGCGAATCACTTTCGGCGCCGAACTCGCGCACACGCGCCTCAGATTTCAGTCAGGGAAAGATGTCTGCACCACCACCAGTAATAAAACCACCACCGTCCAAGCGCGCGAAGAGGAGCGGGGCGGAACGTGTCACGACGCTCGACAACCCGGCCTTCGATGCGGACGACGTGGCCGCGGCGAAATCGCACGCCAAGATGTCTTTCAGGTGCCCGGTCACCATCGACAGTGTCTTCGCGCCGCCGGCGCCCGACCAGGTCTGCACCTTCTACGAATCCAGGAACCACGGCAGCAAGCCATGGGGTCACCTCTCCGAACCTGAGCAACGGGAATGGGCCGAGTCGTGTCACGACAACAAGACGCTGATGGGGTTCATCGTGTACGCGACGCTCTTTCCGAAGCTGCTGCGCAACAGGATCAAGCTCAACGCCGCGACGTACCACTGGGCACACCTGGACTCCTCATCGGCCAAGGGGAGGCTCAAGCTCGAGCAGCGACGCGGCGCGGTGAGCAGGCTCAGGAGGGTCGGGTTCGCGCGCTCGCTGTTCCGCGGGCTCCCGCACAGGATCGACCCGGTGGCCGACACCAGCATCCTGGTGTTCATGAACATGAGCGTGGAGGAAGAGGACGAGAGGTTCCGCTTTTTCACTAATCGAGAGTTCTCCATGATCTACTCTGAGCGAGGAGAGGTCGGCAGCTCGTCCGTTTACTCGTCCTGCTCCACGGCGCTCTCTCTTCTCTGGTTCGCAACGACCGTTCTAGCCAGGCCCTGCTGCCTCGAATCGATCATCCTCCCGATAAACGTCAGAGAGAGGAGGAGGATGGAACAGAGGTTCGGGTGCCCGTCTCACTTCTTCGACGGACCCATCCGGAGCTTCCAGACCACATGGGGAGGCGTGTTCGCCGCCATCGGCACGCCTCATCGGAGCATCGACTACACCGTCATCGAATTCGCCACGTCGGAAAAATACGTGGAGGGCGTGCACGTCTCCGACGCGTACGCGGCGTTCCGCGCAACGATGACCGCACCGGGAGACTGCGCGAGCATCGCGGCGTTGGTACAGTCTTACCGCAGGTCCGCGAAACACGGGGTCGAGTCCGGGGCCGTCGTCGGCGCACTGGACGTCATCAGGGACAGGCCGGCCGGAGCCATCGGGAAAATTGACGGGGGTGTCCTCGGCACCATCTTGTCGACCTACGGAGAAACTGCGTGCGCAAATGTCCAGGCGGAGTGCGTCAAGCTTGACGGAGGGGCGTCGCTGTTCGACGACAGCGTCCGAAGCAAGCTCGGCGAAATCATGACCCATTTCGACAACCAGCTGTGGAGGGCGCGCAAGAAAGACAAGGTGGAGAGGCTGATTGTGGCGAACATGGATCCCGCCGGGATCAACAAGAAGGTCGAGGGGGGAAAGATGCTCGACCCCACCAACCCGGACTCCGTGGCCAAAATGATGGGTATGCTCAAGTCCCTCTCCGGCCAGGTGTGGAAACCTCTCAGGAGCTTGATCGGGAAAGCGCTGGGCGCAAGCCTGGAATCCCCCGGACCCTTCCTGCAAATTTCAGAGAGCGAAGCCCAAACCCTTGCGCAGTTTGTTCGGGCTGCAAGCGTAACCTATGCGGACATCGCCAACCTCTGCACGCTGTTGCTGCTGAGCTTCTCGTTCCAGCGCTCACAGGTGCTCCGAGAGGCGACCGTCGACGAATTCGTGCTCGTGCCAGACGCGACGCGCTTCAAATTCTCGTTCAAGAACAGGAGGTTCAAGACCGCCGCATCCTCCGGAGGAAACGTCGCGGCGCCACCGGTCAGCCACTTCGTGCTCACCCCGGATCAAAGCATGATAGTCAAATTCATCGCCACCGCGGGACACGGGCTCTGCTGCCACGGCAAAGCGACGAAGCCCGACAACGGGAGGCGGCGGCTGTTTGTCAATGCCAGGGGCCAGGGCTGGAACCAGAAAGACATCTCGTCGCGATTCAAAAAAATTGGCATCGAGTGGTTGAGCATTGAGAACTTCGGCCCGCACGTGTGCAGGAGCTTTTGGGCCTCGAGCGCCCTGAACTCCGGCCAGGTGAATTCCAATAACCTCGAAGACTTCAGCAGCTTTCTCCAAGTTTCGAGCGCAACCCTCAGGAACAGCTACATGGCTGCGACGGCGAACACCGCAGCTCACACCTTGGGGAACGAAGTTCTCGGAGCGGTCTCAAACATGGCGTGCACCGGAGAGACGACGGAGCGCGCGAACCGTCCGTACGGCAAGAAGCTGTGCGCCAAGAGGAACGAATTCTCAGCAGATATCCAAGCGTACCTGGCGAAGCACCGCGGCACCACCACCAGCAGAAAGGTGTTCCGAGCGCTGATTCGAAAGCGGGCCGCTTCTCAGCTCCTTGAGGACGAGAAGTGGTTCAGGTGGGAGAACACGTTTTTCGGAGAAGGAGACGAGAGGTTGTTTCAGCGGTTCGTTGACAAGGGGAAGGCGGATTGATCGGAGTCTCGCGCCAATCAATGACTCTCTACGAACGTCGCGGAGACCATCGCGGGCGACGGTGCCATGACCGGGTTCGCGCGCAGGTGCCTCTTCGCGTATACAGGCATCAAAACCCTAAAGTTGTCTGCAATAGAAGTCAACCCGCCGATTTCCGTCTGTAGTTGCGATGAAGCGAGTTTTCGGATGGCATCGATCAGGGGCTGGGAATTATCCGTGTGTATGCTCTTGTTCTTCCTCCTGTCGAGAGTGTGCATGAGGGCCCCTAGTTCGAGTCGTGTATACGCCTGCCCCACATGAGATCGGCCGAAATCAAGCATCACGAGACGCATCTCTGTACCGACCAAAACGTACCCGATATTGCTGGTGTGAAAGTCGCCATGTGTGACGCTGTTGTCCTGAAAAGACTTTAAGAGCCCGACTATCTTGCGAGCTAAGCCTTCGAGCTCGCTCTTTGACCTTTTGCTTTTCAACCACGTGCCGACAACGTCCGGTACCTCTTCCATGAGGAAGATGTGCACCAGGTTTCCATGTGGGCCGTCAACGCGAGGCTGGAAGGGCACGGGTCTCTTGTTTGTTTCGCGCACGGCACGGTTCAGTTCGACGTGAGCGTTCTCTGACAGACGGTACGCGGGCTTGAAGCTGCAGTGACTTATCAGCTTCGGAGCAAGATTGAGACGTGCAAAAGCCGTGTGGGCCATTATCTCCTTTTCCATCCTTCCAAAGTCCCCGAGCTGAATTTTAACAGCCGCGCGGGTGCCGTCACTGTCCTTCACCGCGCGAAAGACATGACCTGACATACCGGCAGCGATGAACTTGGTGACCGTCCACCCTCTCATACAGGAGGCATCGAGCATGGCCGTCAGCGTCTTACACAGCCTGTTGGGGTTCTCGGTGGACGCGAGGTCCCGCGGCGTCAGGTCGCGGCCGAGGCTCACGCCTAGAATTAGGCGACGGACCTCGATCGGAGACAGCTCGCACCACTTCTTTTTGTTTTTCTTCGTATACTTGTTTTTCGGCACAGCCGCCGTCCTCTTGCTGACTCGCCTGGTCGCTGGAGCGCTTTTCGTCATTTGAAACAGGACAACATTTTTTTTCATCTCACACGTCGTACCTGACGCGATACCTCGTCAGCCGAGCGGGACATCGCTCCTCTACATGCCGAAATGTCTGCATTGGGCGAGATTTAGAGTGAGGGCGCCGTACGATTGGTCACCCGCGACGCCCGCTATCTCTCGGCCGACTTTTACACGGCGCTGCATTACGTTCGAGGGTCATGCGTATAGCGGAAGCCCAGTTTTCTTAAGAGTAAATTCCAGCTCTACGGAGTCGGAAACACCAATCTTGCTTCACGGGAGTGGTCTTCGTAGAGCAGACGGCCAGGCAGGGAGCCGATGCTGGCATCCGAGGCCGGGAGACGCGCGCGCCCTGTGTGATTGCACAAAGTGACACGCATGGATAACAAGCGCGCGAGGCTCGCTCAAAAAGTGTTTTGATTTTACCAGGATTTTACAATAAGGGAACCAGCTTTAGCTCGAGGCAGTGGCAACCCAGATGGGAGCGACGTTCTCCGATTCCGCAGCTTCGCCACCCCCTCTCTCTTGCGGGCAACTTTAGAAGAATACCACACACAACCACGACTCCAAGCTGCAGGGCGGTTCGATCTGTTCCTACCTCATAGCATACAGAAGGGTCCTAGCCAGTAGTTACTCGCTTTTTGCCCCCGAGAGAGGGAAGAGCGTAGTTATGGTAACTCGCAATTCGTAGGTCTCGAAAGTCAAAAACATTTCCAAAACACACATGGAGTGTGTTGCTGAAGTGTTTTGCCCTTATCCTAATGCAGTCGTGGTCAATGCATGCTTCAACCTCCATCGACCGGTCCAAAGAAGAGGCGGCATGGTTTCTGTGCGTGTCGGCAGCTATCGATCGTGACATCTTGGCTCCGACTCGGACATTAAGGAAACCAGCTTTAGCTCGAGGCAGTGGCAACCCAGATGGGAGCGACGTTCTCCGATTCCGCAGCTTCGCCACCCCCTCTCTCTTGC